ATACTTTGATAGTGTACCAACTTAGCAATTGAAGACTGGAGGTTATTCACATATATACTTCATCAGATTTCTTGTGATTTGTTACTCCGCACTAGTAATAGCAGAATGTGTGAATGGGCATCTTTGCTAAGCGTTATGTCTCTTACGGAAGTTCCTGTTTGATTTGTCCAAGCAAACCACTGTTTCAAGTTGGAGCCAAGCCTCAGGCCTTTGAACTACAAAGCTGTTGGTTTTCAGCCTTTTGGCTTACAGCAGCACTTCCTTCATGGCACGTGTTTGTGATTCTTCAGCCTTCTTGCTGTAAGGCTAATCATTGGAACCCTGATATACTATGCAAGGAAACTGAACTATAATCAAAGAGCTGTTTGGAATTGCATTTTTATTATCTTTCATAACTGGCCAGGTGCTTTCAGTCTCAGATTCCTGTCTGGAATATTGGACAATAATAATATCTTATGACCATTCTGAGAATAAAAAAGGGCTCATAGAAGTCCACAGCTGCATTATTGTGTCCAGAATAACCCTTGCCTTTGACAGAATACTTGATTATTATTGAACAGAACATTTGTTTTTTCCTTTGACTGTTTCATTGCAGTTCCACTTTGTTTCATCCTGGAAAGATGAATTTCATCTTTAATATTCTGGAGTTTCCATCCCACGTAGGTGAGCTGCGAAGAGGGGTCTGTACTGGTTGGCTAGCTGATCTGGTTGCCCCAATCCTTCACTTGAATCTGAAGAGCAAGGAGCTCTTTTTCCCACAGGTATCAAATCTTGATGAAAAGCTTATGTTTTGCAGGGCAGAGCTTGTGAAAATAAATAATTGTTTCAGTTCTTAGTATAGTGGTTTAGGGATTAGTAATAGCAGCTATAAAATATAATTTCAGGGTTCTATGTTAAGATATCATTCTTAATATAGATATCATGGCAGACTTCGTTCTGAAAATGGAAAACTTCCACTCCAGAGAGCCAGAGTGTTCGAGGAAGTTTGGATGGATTTGGTGGGAGGATGAGGACAGATGAGAATGGAAGTCAAATCATAAAATATTGGTTGTAGCACTCAATTGTAACAACCATCTTTATTATTTTATGATTAATGTACACTGCTTCGGGGTTGTTGGTGATGAGAAACAGTACAATAACGTATTATAATTTAAAAGAGAATTTTTACAAAATGATGTATCATTGGTATGTAACACCAGAAATATTTTCTAGAATATATAAAGGTACTTCAAATCTATGTTGGAAATGTAGAAAACATGAAGGGTTGTTTTATTATGCTTGGTGGACTTGTAAAAAAGCTAGAAAATTTTGGGTTCATATACAGTGATACAAAGAATGCTAAAGATTCAGCTGAAATCAGAACCTTTCTTGCTGGGATTAAGGGATAGACAAGTAGAAATGACTTATGGAAGATTGTTTTTTACATGGAAACTGCAACGAGATTATTATATGCACAAAGATAGACTCTGAAATACCCACAATGGAGGAATGTTTGCTGAAGATAACAGAATCTGCAGAGATGGCAAAATTGACTTGTTTGATTAGGGAAAAGACAGTAACTACATTTGTCAATGACTGGAAATCCATTATGGACTTTTTGCTGAAAACAGAAAAAAATGAATTTGTGATTTATGGATTTGGTGATTAGAAACAGTAAAATACGGAAAGAAGGGAAGTACGATGTAACCTTAGAGAGAGAAAAGATAAAATATAAATTCATTTATAAGTGCTGAAAAGATCAGAAGCCCCTCCCTCCCTCCCTCCCTTTTCTTATTTACTTATCACTTTTCTTTTTCTTTACTTTTTTCTTTCAATTTGTACTGTTTTTACTTTGCAGAAAATGTCTTTAATAAAAATTAAAAAAGAAAAAGTACAATAGTATCAGTACTGTTGGGGAATACATAAATAATCTAAGAATTTCAGGATTCATTTGAAGGAAACAAATCACTTTTGGTGACAGGAATTAACTTGCAACCATATGAAGTGCTTTATGGCCAAAAGGCAAATTGCAGTCATTTTTAAAAAAATTATTTCATGACATCAATATTTGTTAAAGAAACAGCAGAAATCTTTGCAGCTATATGAAAAATGCTTATAATGACACAAGACTTTCATTCATTGCATTAACAGAAACCATGTTTTAATAGGCATGAGGCCTGTGACTTTTATTGATCTTTTGTCTATGACCTTCTTAATAATCTATCATGATTGTTCCTATCAAAATGTGGAAGCAACTGTCATAGCATGCTGTGGCAGAAAGTGTCAAAGACAAATGTTGCATTCAGTAAACCAATTCTTGTTGCTTAAAATTGAATTTCTGTCATCTTATTTCACCTCCTGTTATCTCTTTCAATAGAAATCATTAATTATTTCGTAGCGTAATCATTCCTGAGTATTCTTATTTTTTAAAGAAATAAAGTGAGTAATTTAATAATCACGCCTAATCTTTGGGGGAGAGGACATAGGTTTGTAAGTTTTCTTCAGTTTCATTCTAATGCATTTTAATTGCATTTTAGATCACCATAACGTCTCGCCCATCCAATGTTTTTCACCTACCAGACAACCCATTGGTTCCTTTTATTATGGTTGGTCCAGGAACTGGAATTGCACCATTTATTGGCTTTCTTCAGCATAGGCAAGTCTTTTAAAGATATTAGTAACTAGTCTATCAGTACCAAAAACCTACTTTGTTTTTGTTTGCACTCGGTTGACGAGTGGAAATAAGATTCTGGTTGTGTGCAATGGAGATGCAGTCCTTTGTCTCATGAGGCATGTCTTCTATGAACAAGATCTTCAACCACTCCGATTGTGTTATTAGAGAGGATACCTTCAGGGGCTTCCCCTGTGACTAAGTCACTTAGTACAGAAGCAGTGGGGCTTAGTTCCGTTTTGCTGGTTTGGGGAATCTTGCTTTTCATTAAAGGTTTGTGTTTGTGTTTGATTTTTAGTTAGTTGGTTGTCTTCAAGTAATTTTTTGTCATCTTTCCCCTTTTTTTTTTTAATTCTCACTCCCCCCCCCCCCATTAGCAGTTTAGTATAGGCTTTTGGTTTGCTTGTTTTTTCTTTTCTTTCTTTTTCCCTCATTACATAGCTCTTGTTAATAGAATAGCCTAGGTTCTTTTTTTTAAAAAAAATAGTCTTTGATCTGACCTTGTTTAACTTTTGAGATAAGCCAGGATGGGCTAGATGCTGCCATTTAGTTAAGCAAAATAGAACCCTGGTGTCTTTTATTTCCAGTTCATCTTGGTCTAACAGATCACAATTACACTAAGTGAAATCTTCAAGTTATACATTTGCATACATTGTTACTTCATGAGACATTTTATGCAAATTAGGGAATAAAAGCTTCATATTTTTGTTCACTGTAATAGTTTTTATGGCCACAGTTGCACTTAGATGGACTGAAATGCTTGGAAAGTTACTTGGATTGGATTGTTTTCAACCCACTTCGTTTCTTTTCAGCTACGCTAAAAATGTGCTTTTCTTAGCAGGTCACGTTTGTCCATATGTCAAAGGTTTTTTTGTTGGCTGATGTGAGCTGTAGCTTTTTTTAACATCATATCAGTCATGCTTGAAGATCATAACTGTCAAAGCTAACTGTAGATGTGCAGAACATCCTAAATTCAGTATTTGGCCATTGTTTTTTTCATTCCAAAAACATTCCAAAATCACATTTAATTGACATAAGTTTAACGCATCAGACTTTGAGTTTTGTTTTTTGGGTTTTTTTGTAATATAGGGAAGAGTAATAAGGAGAGCTTTCTAGAAAAGTAAGTGTATGTGGAGCATGAAATTGAATGGTTGCAATGCCAAATGACTTCTTTTTAAAACTGAGTAATAAATTCTTAGAATAACATTAATTGAGATAGCCAGGCAGTGCCCTGGAAAATGGAGAGACAACAGATTTGCTGTCATTACTGTTAATAATGCAAGTCGTAATGTTTAACAAGCTGCTGAGACTAATTTATTCCATATTATTGCAATAGCCAGTGCACATTATATGCAGCTGTGAAATGAGTAAAATGTTGATTTAGTTACAACAGAAAGCGTTTACGGGTTATAACACCGCTCTGACCTGATAATGGGGCTGAATGAATATCAAGTAGTAGGACCTATGTTAATCAACAGGAAATCTGTCTATATGGATCAGGTTTATGGGTAGACAAAGTAAGGAAAAAACCCTCCTATTTCCTTGAAACATTATAGCATTGTGTTTATTTGACTTAATGCATTTCTGTTATTACTATAAATGCAGTTGAATGCAGACATTTAGGCACACCTGTTCCTCAGTCAGTGAAGAAACTGAAGCTGAAAAGAGGTTTCAGCAAAACAACAGTCTGATACATACCTCCAAATCAACCATGAAGTATTGACAAGATAGATAAAGGTTTGTGAATGGTATTCACAATTCCCAGACTTGAATATTACTGAAAATTTGTGGGGAGATCTCAGTCACGCAGTGCACGCAAGGAGTCCTAAGAATATTTCTGAGCTAGAAGAGTTCTTAAAGAAAGAGTAGAGAAAAAAATCCAAAAGAAAGAATAGAAAGACAGGAAAAAAATTGCAAGTTGGTACATCTGCCAAAGGAGATGCTGGATAGTCCTGACCTGAAAGGGTGCCCAAACTTTTGTGCCTGTCATATTCACTGTTTTCTTATTCTGAATCTGTAAATACTGCACTAAATAGTATATGTGTATTCAAATTAGCAAAAAAGTTTTGTGTTTAATTTTGTATCAGGTAGAACTTGTGTCAGCTTTTGTTCATTTAGGGATTCATTGAAAGATACAATTTGATGAGTACCTAAACTTTTGCATACAATGATCCCTGATCCCAGATTAGCAGATTTATTGGTAAGTGGACTGATTAATCAAGAATTTGAATTTGCCCTCAGATAGTAGGTTTAAAGTTTTGCTATAATATGTAATGTACTACAAGTATGGCTGCCTGTTTTGCTACCATAATTGAGGGCCTTAATAAGTACAAAACAGTAATTTTGTTAGCAGCAACGGGAATCTCAGATCCAGAATCCTTCATATTGCTGTGCATGTATAATTCTTCTGTACATTAATGAAGGGAACAACTAGATATGTGTTACTCTTTGAATGTAAAAAAAACTACTTTGCGACAAGTATTTTA